ACCGTCAGCTATCATCGATCGATGCCAGCGTCGCGCCGACAGAGCCAGGACGGCCACCCCGACACCGCTCCGCAGGGCAGGCTCGCTGCCGCCCTCGCGAGTCAGCGCCGAGCGACCCCGCAGCAGGACCTCTCCGGCGCTTTCGACAAGATGGTCCTCAGCTCGGGTCCCCGCGGTGGCCTAGCGGCCGCCCATCTGCGGGCGCAGCTCGCCCAGCAGGATGCACCGCGATCGTCGAGTGCCGCACCCCTGACTTCTATCCGCTCGAGCGACTCGGCTGCTACCACACAGGCCCCAGCCGTCGCCCATCCAGGCCAGAACTCTGCCCATCAGCACAGCGGCAGCGAAGGCTTCACCCCTGTCTTCAACGAGCGCTTCCTCTTCGACGACGAGCTGGACAACGAAGACTCTGCCTTTGTCAAGCGGTACAACCTTCACGAGGATGATGACAAGTTCCCGATCCTCGTCCGCCGTGACAGCTTCCCCGACGTGCTCTCGGCATCCTCTGCAGCACTGGACCTTGCACCTCTCTCGCAGGCCGCCAGAAACGCGCGCGTCGGCAGCGTCGGCGGCGGCAGCGGCAGCGACCCGACCGAGTGGCCCAACTTTGGTAGCGGCGGTGATGGAGGCCAACGTGATCGAAAAGCGCGCCATGGACAGGGCGAAACGGTCGCTGGTGGTAGCGGAGCTGGCAACGGGGGCGAGGTTCACATCGCGGACGGCCCCCGCCGCAGTGCTGGCGGCGGCGAGCCTGAGCGTGCCTCGCCCTCTGGCACCATCTCGCGGGGCCCCGGAGCCAACGCTTACCCTTTGCCCTCGCCCTCGCCCCGCATCCCTCAGGCCGGCAGGGATTCTCCTGCCATCCACGTCGGCTTCACCGCTGCTGCGGCCGCCTCTCGTGGCAGCGGCGCTGGGCCCGTGTCGCCCACTCCCGTCGGTGCGGGCTCCGGCAGCTTGACGAACGGATCGCGCTTTGCCAGCCACATGAGCCAGCCCCACGACTTCATTGGTCATAGCGACTTTGACCCGTTGCAGCCGCAGCAGCCCAACCCAGCAAGGAAAAACGATGGCGGCGGTGGCAGCAGCCTCAAGCCGCATGTCCTCGGAGCGGCGCGCGACGGTAGCAGCAGCTTCCCGAGTTTCAGCCTGGGAGCCTTTTCAAATGCTTCCGGGGGAAGCGAGAGCCCCAGCCGTTTCGGTCCCTATTCCCCGGCAGCCTTCGACGCCGATTCCACTGGTCGTGGCGGCAGCAACGGCAGTCGTCCCAACTCGGGCTTCTTTGACGCGTTCAACCCGGCCGCACCGGCAGCGGCAGCCCATCACCACCACCACGCGGTGTTCGGGCCGGTCCCTGGCCTGCCCATCGCCGGCAGTGGTGGTGCCGCAAACCTCAAGCATGCTCGCAAGGGCGGTAATGTAGTCAGCGGCGCTGCAGGCGGTGGCGGCGAGCTCGATGCCGCCACTCGGCTCGAAGACTTGCAGGGCGAGATCTTCGCCCTCTGCAAGGACCAGCACGGCTGCCGCTACCTCCAAAAGAAGCTCGAGGAAGGCCTGCCCAGTCACCGCGACATGATCTTCGCCGAGACCTTTCACCACTTCGCCGAGCTCATGACGGACCCGTTCGGCAACTACCTCTGCCAGAAGATGCTCGAGTACTGCACCGACGACCAGCGCAACCGGATCGTCGAGTCTGTCGCGCCGGAGCTCGTCACTATCTCGCTCAACATGCACGGCACCCGCGCCGTGCAGAAGACGATCGACTTCCTTTCGACCTCACGACAGATTCATTCGATCATTATGGCGCTCTCGATGAACGTCGTCACGCTGATCAAGGACTTGAACGGTAACCACGTCATTCAAAAGTGCCTCAACCGCCTGGGTGCCGAGGATAACCAGTTCATCTACAACGCCGTCGCCGCTCACTGCGTCGAGGTGGCCACCCATCGCCACGGTTGCTGCGTGCTGCAGCGCTGCATCGACCACGCCTCCGACAGCCAGCGCATCCAGCTCGTGGCCGAAATCACCTACAACGCGCTGACGCTGGTGCAGGACCCGTTCGGCAACTACGTCGTCCAGTACGTGCTGGACCTCTGCGACCAGCGCTTCACCGACGCCGTCATCCGCCAGTTTGTCGGCAATGTCTGCCTGCTTTCGGTGCAGAAGTTCAGCTCCAACGTCATCGAGAAGTGCATCCGCGTGTCGGACCCGTCGATCCGAAAGCAGCTGATCGAGGAGCTGCTAAACCGATCCAAGCTCGAGAAGCTGCTTCGCGACTCGTTTGCAAACTACGTGGTGCAGACCAGCCTCGACTACGCCGATCCAGTCCAGCGCATGCGCCTCGTCGAGTGCATCCGGCCCATCTTGCCCGTGATCCGCAACACGCCGTACGGCAAGCGGATCCAGAGCAAGCTGCAGCGCGACAATCTCGACCTCGGCCCATCGGCCGGTGGCGGTGCCGGCGGCATGCCCTTCTCGCTGCTCCAGCAGCAGCACCATCACCACCACCACCACCATCACCAGCAGCAGCAGCTCCACGCCATGGCCGCCATGGCCGCCAACCGCCAAGGTCCCTCGGGCAATCCTAGCGACTTCCTTGGGATCAATGCCTACGGACAGCCAGGCTTGCATTCTCTGCCGCCGCCGCATCACCATCCCTACCCGCAGGGCTTGCACCATCAGCAGCCGGGAGGTCGATCGCTCGGGCACCAGCCGCAGCTTCACATGGGCCCGCCGGCGCACCACCAGCACCATCAGCACCACCCCCACCAGCTCTATGGTGCGGGCGCTGGAGGGCCTTCCCAGCACCACCCTGCCCATCCCAGTGCCAACCACGGCCTTCCGCCGCCCCTTAACTTTTCCAGCCCCTCGACACATTCCCTCTACGGCGGCGGGCTCAACCAATTCCAGGGTGCCGCCCCGCATCATCCACCGATGGGCGTCCACGGGGCCCCTTCGGGCGGGTTTCCGAGCAGCTCCAGCGGCGGGTTCGGGCCCTATTGAGGCACCCCTTCGGTCGAGCAGGTCGTCTGATACGCGTCCTTAGGACGACGGCCTTGCCATTCGACCTGCCGATGGCGCCGGGAATACAGTGTCGCCCTCGAGATCGAGGCACTGTTGTAAAAAAAACCACCACCAGGAGCCTCTCCGTCTGCCCGTCAACGATCCCTACGGACGTAGGCTCGCTTTCCCTCGCCGCCACAACCGGGTCGACGGCAGAGCGGCGGGTAGATGTAGACGTCCCTCAACAAAGCCGCAAATACCCGGAGCATCTGTACCATTTCCCATCACTTATTCCCGTTTACGGCATCGTCACCTCGTCAGACCGCCCTTCACTAGACGCATTCATCAACCTCACCACCGACCACATCAGCCACGCGTATCGCGCTTGCATCGGCACAAGACTACGACAAGGCCACCTCTACGACGCCGTCCCCTGGATCTGCGCTGAGCGGCAGCCGGCTTCCTCTTGAAGCTGTTTGCACTTCCGGCCCTTGAGACTGAATCATCACGAGCACAGTCACCGCCGCTATCCACAACCGATCCAGCGTGCCGACGTCTTTGACCTGCAGCGTCGACCGGTCGCCGACGCGCCGCACGGTGGTCGTCGTTGCTTCCTGTCGCTGTGGGCCGCCGAGATGCTCGCGTCGCCGCACCTATGTCCTCACCGTCCGCCGCCATCGATGGTTTCAGTCGGGATACGGACGCAAGTTCCGTCCGAGGCTGCGGCGCCCAATGCTGCGGCACGCCATCGCGGGATCCGCCTGCCCGGGCAAACCGACGGCCCTGTAACTTTCCCCCCTGTTACACTACACACCATGCATCATGCTCCGACGTCCCGCCCGCCGCCCTCCAGCTGTACCCTTCTCCTTCCTCGTCCTCTTTTCCTTTCATCTCCTTGTTCTATCCCTTGTGTCTTGGATGTCTCTGTCTTGCCCTTCCATGGCTAAACCTGTCCCGGGGCAGAGGCAGGAGCCCGCGGCTATCGCTTGGCGCATCCCACGCCGTTAACGGGAGAGGCGACTCGGACGGCTCCCTCCCCTCTTCATTCCTCCCTCTTCTTCATTCAGCTGTGTACTCGACCCTGTCCATCCCCCATCTCCTCCCTTGTAGTTAAGTGTAGAACGCCGCACCATGTACAGAAAGTCCGCGCATAGTCTCGGCGAACCCCGTCTCCTTGACCATCCTTACGTCGTGCGTGCCTCTGCTATTGCGCGGCGTCAAAGCCATACGTCAACATCGCGAGGGGCGGTGCCGAGGGTGCACGCTCGCGCGCGTGGCAAGCCGGATTGACGATATGATGCCCGGAATCGATCCTGCTGCTTGATTGATGCGTGTGCCGCTGAGCGTGCATCACACTCAGGGCAGTCACCAACAACATATAGAGGTGAGCGAGACGGTGCCCGCCGTCTCGAAGCCGTTCTTTTGACCCTGCCCCAACTCCACGCGGCCATCCTCTGGTGGGCGGATTGGGCCACGCCGAGCGGAAGACCGTTGCCGGCGCCGGCGAGAGCTCGTCCCAGGACAGATTATAGAATCTTGACTTATCGACTGTTCAGGCAGCTGCGAGCGCCATCGAATCGTTTGCGCTGGCGATGGTGTTGATGATTATTCGTGTTTCGGAAGAGGCGATCCCGTCCGCATGGCCGTGAACGGCCCCGGACAAGCTAAGAAGCTTCAAGCTCGCCCGAGACCAGCGAAGCGAGAAGCCGCCTCGAGGATCGTATTCATCTGGGAGAAGAGTCTTAGAGTCTTGAGTGTGGGCGGCGTGAGAAGGAAGCAGGTTCGCTTCTCCCGTTAAACTTGGTACCAGGTCGGGGATGCAACCTTGTCCGCGGAAACCCCTTGCTTGCCTTACCTGGTCAGCCCGTCGAGGGTCACTCGTCGACTTCACGTGCTGCGTCTACATCTGCACGGCTCGGGTTTCGATCTGCTGCCGCAGCTTCTGATCGGCTCGTCCTTTCTCGTTGCACATCTCGGGCGTCGCTGCCAACGACATGGCTGACGGCGGATTGTCAACTTTGGAAGATCGTGGTGGCGTTGACACGGACGCACCGCCAGCGGTCCCATCGACGCATGCCTTTGCCCCGATCCATGGCCCCGATTCGGGGTGGCATCCCGTCAGATTACGGCAGGGCCCGGATCTCGGCAGGCAGGCATCACGTGGCGGAGAGCCCGCAGCCTCTGAGCCCTGCCTGCGTGCCTTGGCCGTGAACCGACGGCCGGTGGAGCCTGGCGCGTGCGAGCGCCCAACGGCTCGGGTCGTTTATCCGCCGCTGAAATGCTGGCTTGCTTGCCGCTCACCGTTGGCGGCGATGGCCGTATTGCGCCCTCGCCTTGTCGGCATTTGCTGCCCGTCAAAGGGAGCGTCCTGTAGCCTAATCATGCCTCAAAGGCGAGGGGCTCGCTCTCGGCCGTGGTCGCGATCTTTGTTCTGGCTGCTTGGCTCGCCGTTTCTCTGAGCATCGGCGCGGAATCCGTCTTGCATTTCGACGGACGGCGCCGCGGTGCGTTCCTGACCGACGCTCTGGCCTTGGCGAGGGCTCCGTGATTTACCGGGCCGGCTCCCGCGTCCCCCTCCGAGCACCCGGTCCGGAAGACGAGATGCTCGGAACCTTCTGTTGGCGTCTTGTCTGGCACGAGACGGCCTCGGCCGATGGCGGGGCACGTCGGCAGGCAGGCAGGCAGCCGTCTGCATTGATTCATAGATGGCCGCTCCGCGCAGCGGCAAGTTCCCGACGTGACGCCAGATGGGGCCTTCGACAGCCAAGAGGCTGCCAGCTGTCTCTCTCTCTTCAGGAACAACACGATGGTTTACGCCATCTGTCCGTGATGGGATAAGGGACGGAGGGTCCGAAGCGACTCTTTCTGCCGGTGGGCGAACAGGCTCGCCAGGGCGCAAGCGGAGGTAGGCTGGCCAATTACTACTCTAGCTCGACATTCTCGATTCTCCAGGCCGAGTCTGGGCAGGGCATCGGTAGAGTGTAGCGCGGTTTCGCTCGCTGGTCTGATGTTGCTGTGTGTGTCGAGTGCGGACGGACGGGCGCAATCAACAGCCACCTCACTACAACCTACTGCTACGACTAGGACGCAGAAGAGGCGACGACCAGGCAACGGCCTCGGTCCGTCGTCGAGGACAGCCACATAGCTAGTCTGCCTGTGCCTGTGACTGTTGCAGAGTAAGCCAGCGGCGTGCGTGCGTGCGTGCGTGCGTGCGTGCGTGCGTGCGTGCGTGCGTGCGTGCGTGCGTGCGTGCGTGCGTGCGTGCGTGCGTGCGTGCAAGCAGCGGGCGAGCTGCAGCAGCGGTCGGTAGGAACGACGTGCGTCAAGATGGCTTCTAAGCAGGCCGAGGGCTGTCGTAGGGCTGTCTTCCGACGTCTGAGGAAGTCAGCAGAGGCTACGATCACAACCAGAAGCTATACACCTGCTGCCTCTTGGGGCCACCAAAGTTCCTCGACGGGCGTCGCTGCCGTGGCTGCCTACAGTAGAGTAGTACCTAGCCTGCCTGCTGGCAGCCCTTGGGCCGCAGACAAGATCGAAGGTGTCCCTCTTCCGCCGCTGCGCACGGCACAAACACCTGTCCGAAAGGATGGCAGTTGATTCGGAAGCGCCCGCGGGTGCAATCCTTGGGCCCACTACGACCTTACATTTGGTCTTTGAGAAAGCACATCGGTTCAAGCCCGCCAAAAGGTGGTAGGTTTGCCGGGTCGACCAGCAGAAGGAGGTGGGTTGGGTTGCGCTTGCCTCAGGAGAGGCAGGGGACGGGGGCGCGAGGGCTGACGATGCGGTTTCCTGCTCCGACGTGGCCATTTTGGAAGCAGCTGCGCTCGACCAAGCCCAATCGGGACGCTACCGGCTATCCTCCTCGTCCTCCTCGCCTCGCTAGCTTCACTCTGTCCTCGTCTCTCGGCCCCCTGGCCCGCCAGGACCCTACCTCATGTACACAAGCAAGGGTGTCATGGTCAACAGATACAGAGTAACTAGTAGAAGAGTCCTAGAGGAGCAACGGGCTGCGCACACGAGGCACACCTACACGAAGCCAAGGTGATCTGGTCTGCCCAGCCCTGCCCTGCCCTGGCCTGGCCTGCTGGCCTGCGTCGCGGCAGGTTGCGCCGCCTGCGCTGCACGGGACCGCCAGCCAAATTATCGAGCCGTGCCTGCCTGCTGGCTGCCTGGCTGCCGGGCCGCCGCCTGCTGCTTTCTCGGTGGGCAGCCAAACCCGTGTGGACCGCGTGTGTGGTCCCGCTTGGTTCAAGTTCCAAGCTGGCCTCGGTGCAGCTGTTGTAGCTCAAGCTCCACCTTTCCAGGGGCTTGGCACCCTTTCCTCGGCCGCCCCGCCACCCACCACCACCGCCAGGCCGTCGACCACCACCACCACCACCACCACCGGCAGCTTCCCGGGGCCGACTCTTGACTCGTTTTCGGATCTCTACCGCCGCTGCCTCCGTCGCCACCACCAACACACGTACGCCTCGATCAACGCCATCTGCTAGCCACGTCCTCATCGCATACGCGGCACGTATCCCCCTCAGCCTCACTCTCCCCGCTTCGCTCACAGCCCCTCGACTCCTTGGACACATACACAGCCATCTGGATCCGCCTCTTTATATCGCCCAGCCCCGCACACAGCCTCCCCTTCCGGATCGCTTCGCTTTGACGGCAGCGACTCTGCCCGGCTTCCAGCGCGTTTGTCGTCGCCCTTCGAGGTCCTTGGTCTTTGTCATCGCCGTCAGACTCGGCGATCAATCCATCCCTCCTCAGACAGTCGCACACCCACATTGTTCAGACAAATCCATCCAGGTCAGCCTCCTGATCTTGCCCATCCCAGCAGCCCGAACGGTAGACTGCCTCTCGCCCCCCCCCTTGGTCGACCATCGCCCCACCACCTACAGCATACTCGCAGCAACTCGCACCTCGAGCACATGAGCACCTCATCAAAAGCCCCACCCTCTTAGCAACCGCCCGACGAGGCACCCGTCCTCGCAGCTCGTCTGCGCGGCTTCGTGGGCCGTCTCTCTCTTTAGTACGCGCGACCTTCATTCTCGTTCGCCCCGTCCAGCTTGCGGCGTCTCAGCTCGCTTCGCAAGCCAACAGAGAGCGGACCTGGACCACTCACAGGCGTTCGAGATGAGCACCAACCACAAGCCAGCGGCATCGAGGCCCACCTCGCTCCCGCGGCCCCCTCACCACCACAGCCTCCCCGAACCTCCACTGGCTTGCGCACTCTCCAAGCCTCCTCACTCTCAGAGGGCGACTGCCAACCTCGGTCGCAACCACTTTGGCCATCCTCAGCCGTCACTTCAACGAGGCGCCAACCGATCACAGCCATCAATAGCGGATGCCTCGAGATCACGTCCTGCCGCTCATCCAAGCACTAGGGCCTGGGAGCTTCAGCCTTCAGGCCAGGGTCAGGAGCGTTTCAGCACGAACCGTGACCTTGGCACATCATCTCAGCCGCAACCTATCGGCGCCGGCTCCTTGGCACATCCCGCCGCGCACCATCCAACCTCGGTCGCCAGCCATCAGAACCAGCACCACTACCACCGCTCGCAAATGCAGCATCACCCGCAGCATCATCGCCAGCACCACCAACATCAACAGCAGCCGCAGCAGCAACCGCAGCAGTGGCCCATGTCTTACGACGAGCTGCGGCGCAATGCTCAGCACTCGTCGTCACACAGCCATCCTTCGCCCGCCAGCACCTCTTCCGGCTCTACCTCCAGCCTACGGACGCCACCCGACCTGCTCCTCAACGGCAACACCATCGGCTATGCCCTGTCCAGCTGGAAGTCGTCTTCGCCGCAACATTCGATGCTGGCGCTCAACTCCTGGAGTGGTCTTGCCGTCAAGCGACACATTCCTCCTCGCCACATGAAGGTCGAGGAGATTGTCAAGCGACGTCGTCTGCTCGAAAGCCTTCCCGACGATCTGCCCTTCGCCCTACCCTCGCCGCCGCATACACCGCTCTCCAGTCCTCGAAAGGCAACGCGTCCTCGCTCGACGGAAGGCGATCGGCAGACGGCGGACACCGAAGCAGGCGAGCTGGTCGATCCGGCCGCAGCCTCGTTCCCCGCGCTCGATGGGAAGCGCAAGGAAGCGGATCGTGGTCAGGCTTCGAGGCCAGCACAACAGCATGCCCCGATGAAGAGCAGGAAGCGGCGACGATCCAACGATGCGGATGAGGAAGATTTCGGACCCAGAGACAAACGGCCTACCGCGCGGCTGAAAGGCTCCACCTCTCACGTCCTCCCTTCAAGTGCGCCTCTATGGGAGCCTGAGACTGTCACCACCGCCACCATCTTGGAAACGCCGTCAGAGGCAGAAGACGGCGAGCTTCCCGATGTCGACAAGCGCACCTCAGGTTGCGTAGAGGCCGAGAGGCAAGCTTGCGACAGATCGGATCAGCCTCGCCCGCTGGCGCTGCGGTCGCGCACGTGGACATCGGAGGAGCTGGGCCAGGTCGCCACCCTCTATCGCAACTGCGGGAGGGAGAGGAAGCACATTGGAGACCAGCTCTCTGACAAGGCAGGCTCCTCGCTGCCGTCGTTCGCATCGCCATCCTCAAAAGCGGTGGCCGCGCTCGAGCAGCTGGACGCCGTGCTGCTTTTCTGCTACGCCTTCTACCTCAGCGATCAGGAGAAAGGCCCGGGCTGCTGCCTCGCCAATAACTGGGATAGTCTTTTCGGTCTGCTCCGCTACGTCACCAACGCCCAGCTGCGCTTCCGCAACCACGCCCTCGTCGGTCTCTGCCGCCTCGTCGAGGCATCTGTCCTGCGCATCCTCCATACCCACAACCAGAACCTGCTCCGAAGCAGCATCGCAAACCAAGGCGCCGCGGCTACGGAGAAGCTGCCGCTGGCGACGCTCTCGGAAGGCTTCATGAAGCTGTCGTCGGACCTGGACAAGAGCGACCGGCTCGCTAGCCTGGCGGGTCAGAGCCTCTCGCTCGGCGCACTGAAGCGGTCTTTTCCCGAGACGTGGTCAAGGATCCTCGAAAACGACTTTGGCGGCGGGGACCTCACCGCGGACAGCACCGCTTTGCGTGTCGATCCGGGGACCTGGCCCAGTGCGTCGGTCTTTGCGTGGCCGATTGGGCCGACGACGCCGATCTCGCATCTCGTCTGCTTCGGGCGCAACCTGATCCGCGAGCACGCCAAGGGCAAGGGCCTCAGCTTTACGCCCGTCAACGTCAAGGCGCCTCTCTGACCGAGGCCGACCTCGCGATGCACACGCTTTCCGTCTTCGTCATCGCACAACGACCCAGCATCCCGACTCACGGCACCGCAGATACAACCGTGCCTGCAAGCCAGGAACGAAAAGGGACGCCGAAGCCAGAACTGATCGGCCGCGACCTGACCGCGCCGAGCAGATGGCGCACGCTGCCCCACCCGGTCAATCCAGCTCCGACTCGACTCGATACACATCTGCTAGCCCCCTTCCATGCTCCCGTCTCGTCCCGTCTCGTTCCCGCAACATCATCGCCACCATCATCATTGTCGACTTCCGGACCGTTTCCACGAGCTGCTGCATCATACCTCTTTTTTGTTTTGTTCCAATGTCTCGCATCTCGGCCCTCCTCCTCATCACGTCCACGTCCATCCCCTTGTTCAGACACACGTCTTCTTCATGCCCTTCACCCCTTGTGTTTGCAAAGCTAGCATTGTCGTCTTCACCGTCTCTTATCCTCGTTTTGATCGTGGCCGCCCTACATTGGCGTCGCCTCGTCGACTCTCGAATCGTCTCAGCATCGTTTCACCCATCCGGCACCTCGGCGATGTCACAAAGCCTTCCGTCTTGTGCGTCCGAAATCGTCGCGTGAAGTGACTGTGTACGGTTGACGCTCCCGCTTTGTCGCTCTTGCTCTGCCTGGGCGTGTCTGTGCTCAAGCTGGGCTCCGTTGTGATCGCTTCAAAGTCGGCATCTACGCACCGCGAGACGACGAGGTATCCTTTCAGCCCAGCCCACGACTATCGCTCTGACCTGGACTGGACTGGAGTGGACTCGACGTTTTGCACCGGAGAGAGCATGACCTAGCAGAGATACGTGGTAGGCGTGATGACGGTCTTCGTCCAAAAGCCTCAGCATGGTTTGAATCGAGAAGGATGAAGAAAGGGGGTCGGGGGGGCCGAGAATGAAGAGGGGATCAAGCGAAAAAGACGGCCGCGCCGACCTTGAACCCGGTGCTGTTGGGCAGGACCGTGATGGGGACCGAGCATTCGACCGTCTCCAACTTGGTCTCACCCCCTCCCGCGCCCGCTTCCGCCTCCTCGCCGTCCTCTTCCCCGTCGTCGTTGTGGACAATGGGACCGGCCAGCGAGGTGAGGGCTCGCTTGGACGTGTGGTACAGTGCGAATCCGTCCGAGCTCGAGTCTACCAGGTGGACCGGTGGCGGTTTCCTGGCCGGTGCCCGTCGGCCGTCGGTCGGTGGTGGTGGCTTGATGCGCGATATCGTCAGGAACGACAGGCGCAGCGTCCAGTTCAACTTGACTATCCGGCGCAGATCACGAGGTCCGACAACGACGGGGATGGATTTGTGTCAGTCCTGTGTCGGTGGCGCAGAGGTCTCCTGCTGCTCTCGGCCGCGGCACGACAAGGGCACAAGACTCACCGCCGCTCGTGACGAATTCAGGCCCTTCGCCGCTGGGGACGGGCAGGGCAAAGCTGACCCTTCCCTTGTCGAGCGTCGACTCGTGGTACTCTGCGTGCACCTTGCGCGTCGTCCTCTGCATCCTCCCCGGCGGCAGCAGCGCGATCGAAGGCTGCACTTCCTCAAACGTCTCGAGCGTAGCCGCGAACCTCGCGATCCGCGCCAGCGAGCCCGGCTGGTTGATCGAGATCATGGCCATCACTGTTTCGCCCAGCCGATAGCGGGACTTGACCAGCGTCAGGACGGCGGCCACTTTCGAGTCCTTGGATATGTCGTACGACACTGCATGGTGACAACGCCAGGATCAGGGAAGCGGAGATGGTCAGCAGGCGAGAGCGGGACTGCATCGGTGACATGCATCTCAGCGAAGCGTTGAGGCAACTCACCCTTGCTCGAAGTCCGCGAAAGCGTCTCGACGGCAGCTTTGCAGCTTTCCTGCGGCAGACCCTCAGTCATGCCAAATGGATCGAGGCCTTCCGATCCTGTTCCGCTTTGTGCGACAGTACCGCCGCTTGGCGAGCGCGACCGGAGCTGCTCGCGGACATAGCCTTCCAGCTCTGCTCGCGTTGTCTTGACTGTACAGTGCCATCGAATCAGGCGTAGAAAAGGCCTTCTTTCGTCGGTATGCGTCTCGCAACATGAGTCGGGCTCTCGGATGGGTCAAGACTCACTCTGGGGTCGTCCCTGCCTACTGGCGGTAGCGTGTTCCCTGATCGTGGATGGGCCTGTGCCATCGTCGGCCTCGACCACCGCCTGCTCTCGCAACAGTATGATGGGGTTCATCAGGTCGTAAAAAGGGCGGATGCCCGATGTGGTGACATGGTTGTAAACGCGGATGGGCACCTGGATCAGACGGCTGCGCTGGGCTTGCCGTGCGTTGACCGCCGTGTCGAGCTTGTTCGTCCCGATGCTGAGATTGTACTGGAACTTGATCGATTTTCCGTGGTAGGAAGGAGGCAAGTCCACTGGCAGTTGGAGGCGGAAGGTGTCTGTCGGGACAAAGTGGCGCGACCCAGAGGAAAACCGTTTGGGGACAAGCGGTGAGAACGTGCGATCCTCGCGACTGCCGGTGGCCGGCGGCTACTCACAGGACTTGCTCTCCTCGGGTCCCAATGTCAGATCGACGGCGAGGATGCTTGGAGGCGACGAGAAGGTCGGCACGCTGCGGCTCTGCAGCGTGCGCTCCCTGGTATCCTGCAGCGTAGATCCGGTGCGCCGATGCCTCCCCCTCAGGCCGGATGCGCCGCCACCCGATCCCAGAGCATGTCGAAGGTAGCCACTCCAGCTCGAGGAACGGCCATTGCGAGAGACGCCGCCGGCACTGTCCGACTCCTCGTGGCCGAGATCGCCGCCTCCGATCACGCCGCGAGGCGTTCCGGGCACCGACGACGCCGAGGCACCTGTGAGGTCCCCGTAGGCCAGGCGCTGCTTGAGGTTCTCGAAATCGCCAGGCTTGACGAGGCTCTCGTCGATCTCGACCAGTCCTCCGAACTGTGCAAAAGACCAAAGGATCTTTTCGGTGCCCGGTGGAAGGAGATCATTGTTCGGGTAGAGCGGGCTCTTTGCGCTGCCGCCGCCGCCCTGCCTCCGCATGTCCTGCGACCAGTCGTTGATCGAGTCGCGGAAGACGCTCTCCATGGTGTCGTTCTGGCCGAGCTTGTAGAAGTTGTCGCTTCCCCATGGGCTGTTCTGCGAAGGATTGCGGCCAACCGGCGTGGATGGGGTGGACGCGGATGATGACGTGGATGCAGACATGGCGGGGGCCATGATGGCTCGATCGTTGGCTGGGTCGAGCTCAAAGGCCTCTGTGAGGTCTTCTGCCTGAGTCTGGGCAACAGACTTCTTGCGCGAGTGCGGGTGCTTTGCCGAGATGGTGGCTGAAGTCTTTCGACCCGGCCCACCGAGGGCGGGGCCGAGCGAGGAGCCGCGAGGCCCGACGGGGGAAGGGGAATGAGATGGCGACGGGCTGATCTGCAGGCGAGCGAGAGCCTCTTGGGCCGGCGGTGCGATGCGATGCGGAGAGACACCGGGCCGCTCGGACGAGGAAGGCGGCGGAATGCCGAGACCGAGTCCGCCTCGATCCGCGGCAGTGTTCCAAGGGCCGACCGAAACTGAGGCCGACTTTGCGTGCTGCCGCTGTGACGAAGCGTTGGAGTTGGACTGCAGGTTGACCCATGGCGCGAAAGCGGCAGAAGAGGAGGTGGTGGAGGAGTGTGCGGATGAGAGGGCAGCGGGGTGTGGTGCCCCGATGAGGCCCTTGCGCTCTGGCAGCTGTTCTCCGTCCATCTGCCTGAGAAGCGCCTTTGACCTGCGGGAACGGGTGAGCTGGCCATCTAGAGAGTAGTGGGACGAGGCGGTGTTGGTGGTGGTGGGCTTGTGTGGCGAGGCGATTGCCCTGACGTCGACGCTCTTTGACTTGTTGGAGTGCGTCTTTGAAAAGGGCTGACTGGAGACGACGCGGCGGCCGGCATGGTAGGCTGGGGACTGGGTGGGGGTGGCAGGATCGTCAAAGGCAGCTGCGTCGTCGGGGTGACTGTGCAAGGTTGCGTTGGCTGAGAAGGCAGCGGTCTGTGGTATGGGTTGGGTGTGAGTGACTTTTGGGTTGGTGTTTGTGAAGGTGATTGTGCAGACAAAGTCTTCGCCAGCGAAGAACGACGACTGGAGGGGCTTGACGGAGACGCTGAGCGCGGAGCTGTAGTGTGCGCTCGAGGGCATGGCCATGGTCGTGTAGGATGGAGGCGGCAGCCTTGGCTGTGGATCGATGTTGACGATCTGCCTGCGCAAGCCGGTTGGCTGGTAGGAGGAAGGGCGGAAACGGCGTGTGCGGCGTGGGCCGCCTGAGGATGTCGAGGGCGTCGAGGGAGGGGGAGGACGTGGTGGCAAGCTGCGAGGGCGTGGCAAGGGCGTGGGGGTGGCCTGAGCGGAGCACCTGCCCGACTTCCGAGGGACCGGGAGTGATTCGCGGGCTGGCTGGCTGGCTGGCCTTGCCTCTCCTCGCCTGGCCTCGGTGCCGGCTTGTCTGTGGTTCAGATGGCGCGGCGAGCGGCCAGACGCGACCCGCCCGCCCTCGTTGGCGCTGACAAGCAGGCAGGGTGCTCCACTTTGCTTTTCTTGGCTGCGCCTAAGGCCCGGCGAGCCACCGGTGGCAGGCAAGAAGCAAGAAGGCAAGCCTGGGCCAGCCAGCCCCCGCAGCCACCCGCCAGTCAGACGTACGTGCGCTTGGACCCTCGCTCCCCTCGTCCTGGCAGGCCACCGTCCCACTCCAATCTACGCGACCACGACGACGCCGGCCCAACGCCACCCTTTTTTGCATCCTCGTCGGCTTGCGGACCGCACCATCCCCTTCCCAGCCTCATCTCCTCTTCGCCAGAGCGTCACCATGCCCCCCAAGAAGGCCTCACAGCAGAGCCTGCCAAAGGGTCAGGCCTCTCTCCAGAGCTTCTTCGGCGGCGGCCCACCTCGCACAGCCAGCAGCGCAAACAGCCAGGCCACCCCTTCCCCCACAAAGTCGGCTCAAAAGTCAGCCCACGCTCACTCCCCTTCCAGCTCTCCCGTCACCGAGATCAAGGAAAAGGTCACCGTCCGCGGCTCGCCCCAAAAATCCGTCCCAGCCCCCAAACCCGACCCTCCCTCCTCCTCCTCAAAGTACTTTGCCGACAAGAAACCTCCGCCTGCCGCCACCCGCGGATCAAATCGTTCCGACCCCCTCGTCCTCGACGACTCTGACGATTCCGACATGGCGACTGCAAAGCCCGCCGCCAAGCCTGCCACCCGCACAGCCGGCAGAGCCGGTGCGAAGCGAAAGAATCTCGCAGAGAGCAGCGACAACGACGACTACGACGACGACGCAGACGACTTTAAGCCAGAGCCAAAGAAGCCCGCCACCGCACGCACCGTATCTGCAGCCGCCAGAAGGTCCAACATCCCCGCCCGCAAGCACCAAGACACCGACTCCGAAGACGACTTTGAGGAGATCGTCGAAAAACCCGCCGCAAAGTCAAAGGCCAAACCAGCATCCGCCGCTGCCAAGTCGCGTCCCACGCCGTCGCGCGCCACCAAAAAGGAAGAGCCCTCGACAGCGTCCGAGATCGAAGAACCCACGCCGGCCAAGGCGGCTGCCAAGTCCAACTGGAGGGAGGCGGCCGCTAGGAGAGCGGCGGGGCCCGTCGCGCCTGGCTCAAAGGAGATCCCCCAGGGACAGCCAAACTGCCTCGCCGGCCTCACGCTCGTCTTTACGGGAGAGCTCACCTCGCTCAGCAGGGACGAGGCCTCGGACCTCGCCAAGCGGTACGGCGCCCGCATCACCTCGGGTCCTTCGTCAAAGACCTCGTATGTCGTCCTCGGCGAGGGCGCTGGCGCCAAAAAGCTCGAGTCGATCCAGAAAAACAAGATCAAGACGCTCGACGAAGACGGCTTCCTCGACCTCATCGCCACCCGCGGCGCCGGCGAGCTCGACGAAAAGGCGAAGAAGAAGATCGCGGAAGAGGAGAAGAAGGTCAGGGAGACGGCCAAGGCCATGGCCACTGCCGTCAAAGAGGCGCCCGAGGACCTCAGCAACGCGCTCTGGACCACAAAGTACGCGCCCAAGGCGCTCAAGGACCTCACCGGCAACAAGAGCGCCGTCGAAAAGCTGCAGACCTGGCTTCGCGCCTGGCCGGCGTCGTACAAGTCCAACTTCAAGAAGCCCGGCCCGGCCGGCATGAACATCTACCGCGCCGTCCTCATCTCGGGGCCTCCGGGCATCGGCAAGACAACCTCGGCCCACCTGGTGGCCAAACTCGAGGGATACACGCCCATCGAATTCAACGCCAGCGATACGCGCAGCAAGAAGCTGATCGAGTCGATGCTCAGGGATACGATCGACAACAAGTCGCTCGACGGGTGGTACAGCGGCGGAGGCAGAATGGTGGGCTCCTCCGACGTCAAGATCACCGACCGCACCGTGCTCATCATGGACGAGGTCGACGGCATGTCGGGCGGCGACCGCGGCGGAATCGGCGCCATCAACATGCTGATCAAGAAGACCAAGGTGCCCATCATCTGCATCTGCAACGATCGCCGCAACCAGAAGATGCGGCCGTTTGAGCACACCACCTACAACCTCAGCTTCCGCAAGCCCGACGCCGGTGCCGTCAAGTCGCGCATGCTGTCGATTGCCTTCCGAGAGAAGCTCAAGGTCCCCGGCGAGGTCATGGGACAACTGATCGAGGCCGCGCAGGGCGACATCCGATCGGTGATCAACATGCTCTCGACCTGGAAACTGGGCAAGGACACGATGGACTTTGACGAGGGCAAGAAGCTCGGCCTCGAGAACGCCAAGCCGGGCATGCACACGCCCTTCAGCCTCTACAGCGATCTGTCGTCTCCCTACATGTTTGGCCCCACCTGCCGCAAGACGCTCAACGACAAGACCGAGCTCTACTTCCAGGACCACTCGTTCGTGCCGCTGATGGTCGCCGAGAACTACATCAAGGCTCGGCCGGTGAGGGCGAGGGACGCCGACAGTCACGTCAGCAGCTACAAGCACCTGCAGCTCTTGCGCCATGCGGCCGAATCGATCTCGGACGGTGACATGATCGACCGCATGATCCACGGCTCAGAGCAGCACTGGAGCCTGATGCCGCTGCACGCTATCGCCTCGACGGTCCGACCCTGCTCGTACACCTACGGTGGCACCGAGGGTGGCTTCCCCTCGTTCCCGTCGTGGCTGGGACAGAACTCGAAGCAGCAGAGGCTGTCGCGCGCCGTGGTGGACCTGCAGGCGAGGATGCGGCTGAGCTGCTCGGGCAGCCGTCATGATGTGAGGCAGCACTACCTGCCCACCATGTGGCCGATGCTGATCGAGCCCCTGGTCGAGCGAGGCAGCGAAGGCATCGAAGACGTCATCCAGGTCATGGACGACTACTACCTTGGCATCGAGGACCGAGAGGCCATCCTCGAGCTGGGTGTCGAGCCCAACAACGCCGAGACGGTCATCAAGGGCATCCCTTCCGCTGTTAAGGCAGGCTTCACGAGAAAGTAAGTCGGTCGCCTGCTTTGGTCTTTGCGTCCATGCCCAGGTCGAGCTCGCCACCTGACGCCGTGTCGCTCCTCCCCTCTTCCAACTCGCACGCCGCAGGTACAACTCGACGAACCAGTAAGTTCATCTCGGCTTGTCGTCGCTCCGTGCCTCGCTTGCCGACGATCCCGCTGACGATTTCCCTTGCCCCGCTTCCACCAACAGCCCGATTGCCTTCTACAAGGGAGTCGACACGGGCGGCAAGGCCAAACAGCTCAAGGGCGAGGCCGCGCCGGATCTCGAGGACGTTGTCGAGGTATGTCTCGTGGCCCACACAGCTCAATGCGTGACCCTTGCAGAAGCGTCGAGATAAGCTGACATGCCCATCTTGCGCGCTCTCGCTACTCGCAGGAGGACGACGTGCCGGACGATGTTGACCAGGAAGACGAGGCCAGCGACGACGACCTCAGCAAGGTGAGTCGTCCCGCCCATGCCTCCGCCTTCCTGTTCTCCCATCTTCGTTCCGGGTCGCTGACCAAGCTCTTCCCCCCTGGTTCTGTGAACCCGGCTTTGACCGACTGATGCAGGATAAGATGGTCAAGAAGCCCAAGGCATCGGCCGCAAAGGGCAAGGGCAAAGCAGCGGCCGCGGCCAAGCCCAAGGCAAAGGGCAAGAAGTGAGGTGCGCGTTCACACGGATCCTATGTCGGCTTAGGACGCGCACGGGCACGCTTGCACACACACACGCACATACGCACACACGCACACAAGCACACACGCACACAAGCACACACACACGCACCCACGTCGTGAACGGAGGCGGCGGGATGAAGCGACAGTCGCAGCATCCTGACCTCTTTCCGCCACGTCGTTGCACCTCTTCTGTATCGTCCCATGACCGCTCCACCGCGAAGCTGCCACCGGCCAACCCCTTTTTGCCACCACCACCCTCGAGCGAGCAATCCATGATTCCAAGGGGTGCAGAACTGCGTGCTGGCGTCACAAACCTGCACGAAGCGGCCAAGAGATGTGAAGTGACCCATCTTTTCTGATGTGCGGTGCGGAGCGGTGCGATCGCCACGCCGCTATTGACAAGGTGATGGGCGTGGCGACCCTCTTGGGATCTATATACAGGGGACGCGGATATGTACAGGTGCCATACTAGAGCGGGCGGTCGAGGGACGGGGAGAGAGGGAAAACGGCTCCGCTGGTTTTGTGTAATGAGCGAATGGAGGATGGCGCGTGGATGACAAGGTGGGGCTGGTATCGACGAGATGCTGCGACTGAGAAGGCGATTGAGGGACTGCTGGGGCTCAACATGGCCGCGAGATATTTACAAGAGACGAGAGCAAGTGGATCGGACGGGACGTGGCAAGTAGCGGGCTAGCGCGCGCTCTCAGGTCGACTTGGATGCAGCAGGTCCCGGGCTGGCCGAGCGTAGCCGCTCGAGGAGCGGATCCTGCTTCGTCTCTGGGTGGAATTGGATCTTGCCCTCGGCGTAGAGGTCCTGCGTCGACACGGACGGGTCGCCGCCGCCCGACGACGAGCCGCCATTCTTCTTGTTGGCGCCGTCGACGTTGTCGCCGTTCTGCGCGGGTCTCCAGCCTCCGCCGACGCTGGCGCCGATGAGCGATGGAATCATGGCCATCAGGCTCTTTGTCTGGATGTTTGCGTCGCGCAGGCGTCGCGACTTGCTCTTGAAGATGCGGTCGCTGGCGCGCATGCGGCCGCCGCGGATCGTCGAGTAGGTCTGCAGCTGCTGGTGGATCTGACCGATGGCCGGCTCGTCCCACTCGGTCACGTTGGCTTTCTTGCTGTCCTCGGACTCATCCGTGACAACGGGGAGAGCGTTGGGGTCGGGCATGAGGCGCATCCGGATCAGCACCCTCTCGATGGGCGCCGTCGGAATCAGCCGGATCAGCACCGCCAGCGGCCACGAGACGGCGCCGACGACGATCGAAATGGCCCAGTCGCGTCCCTTGAGGTCGGTCACCTGGAACGCCACGCCTCCGACGAACATGATGAGCACCTGCAGCCCGATCTCGATGAGCATGATGCCGATGAACCACGGGTTCTTCCAGATCTGGTCAAAGATGTTGAGGCCGCGGCCCAGCGAGCGCGAGTTGACCTGGTTGAAGAGCTGGCACCACACGTACGTGTTGAAGACGAGCGCGCTCAGCTCGACGTCCATGTTGTCCTGGACCGCGGGAATGTCCGAGGTGAGGTTGAGCAGCTTGTGGCCGGCAAAGTGGAGCACGAGGATGACGGTGAACTGGTAGATCGACTGGCCAACAATCATTTTCCACATGTCGGTCGAGATCAGCGGCGCATTGCGCCTGTCGGGCTTGCGATCCAGCAGACCAGGGTGGGCGGGGTCCGTGGCCAGCGCGAGCGCGGCGAGCGTGTCCATGATGAGGTTGATCCACAGCAGTTGGACGGCTGTCAGAGCCGACTTCTCCTCGGAGGATGCGACGGCGGTGACAAAGGTGACGATGACGGCTGACACGTTGACGGAGAGCTGGAACTGGAGGAACTTGCGCACCGCGTCGTTGACGCAGCGTCCCCACATGATGGCGCTGACGATGCTGGCGAAGTTGTCGTCCATGAGGATGATGTCGGACGCCTCCTTGGCAACCTCGGTGCCGGCGATGCCCATCGAGAAGCCGACGTTCGCCGTCTTGAGCGCAGGGCCGTCGTTGGTGCCGTCGCCAGTGACGCCGACCACCTCGCCGATGCTCTTGAGGCTCTCGACCAGGATCTTCTTGTCCTCTGGGCTCGATCGCGCCAGCACCTGGAGGCGAGGCACGATCTCGAGCATGTCGGGGCGGCTGAGCTTGCGGAAGACGGGACCCTCCATGATGATGCCGCCGGCCGTGTAGATGCCGCACTGAGTGGCGATGGATCGGGCGGTCAAAACGTTGTCACCCGTGCACATCTTGACCTGGACGCCGGCGCGGTTGCAGGCGGCGACGGCCTCGGTTACACCGGGTCGCAGAGGATCCTCGATACCGGTGATGGCGAGCAGCGTCAGGTCCTTTGCCAGCGAAGTGTACTCGACATCGCCGGACTCGTCGAAGTTGGCATCCTTGGGCGGGAAGCTCTCGAGCTCGCGGTAGGTGAGAGCGAGGGTGCGGAGTGTCTGGTTGGCGAAACCGGTGATCGATTCCGAGACCTTCTGCCGTGTCTCGTCAGTGAAGGGAACGACCTTGATGGAGCCGTCGCCTGCCGAAGACGCGGATGCCTCTTCTGGCCTGGCGACGTCGACGTGCTGGGTGCAGAGCTTGGTGAGGACCTCACTGGCGCCCTTGAGGTACAGGCGGTAGCCTCCGTCCGGCTTCTTGATGACGACACCCATGGCCTTCCTCTCGGAGCTGAAGGGGATCATCTGCGCCACCTCGGCGCGGTCCCGCGGTCCCCGGTAGTCTTCCCACTGGAGCTGCTTGGCCATCTTGAGCAGAGCCGTCTCGGTCTTGGAGCCGACAAAGCCAAGCTCCTTGGCGGGGGCGGCTTCGGCCTGCTTGGAACCCTTGAGCCAGCCGAGCAGTCCGCGCTTCTTGACGGCCTCGACGGCGGTCTTTGGCTCCGCAACGTCGGTAGCGTCGTGCTCTTCCTCGAATGCGGTCGAGTTGATGGCGATGGCGTCGTTGAACAGGGTCCTGAGCGGACCGTCGATAACCTTGTTGAGCTCGGCCTGGTCCATGGTCCAGGTGCTGCCGTCAGCGCTGTCGCCTTCGGTCTCGAGCCGCTTGCGGTTCTCCTCGAGGCGGTTGGCAAACTTGAGGTGAACGCCAACAGTGCCCGCGACGACGTTCATCTCGTTCTGGGTCAGCGTGCCGGTCTTGTCGGTGCAGACGACGCTGGCGTTCGCCATCGTCTCGCAAGCGCCGAGGAGGCGGACGAGGAGGTTCATGTTGGTCATGCGCTTGGTGGCGAAGGCGAGAGCGAGCGTGACGGCGAGCGGAAGACCCTCGGGGACCGCGACAACGACGAGGGTGACGGCGATGATGAGGATATCGATGAAGTTCTGCGCCTTTTCGTCTGATGTGCGGTCGGGCATCGTCTTGAGCTGGACAAAGAAGCGGATCATGAGTGCGAAGAAGAGGAGTGCACCGGCGCTGGAGCCGAGAATGGCGATGAGCTCGGCCAGGCGGTTGAGCTTGCCCTGCAGCGGGGTGTCCTCGGCGTCGCCTCGCAAGGCGAGCATCAGCTTGCCGTTGAAGCTGGTCGGGCCGACGGCGATGACGACGTACTCTCCAACGCCCTCGAGCACCTTGGATCCCGAAATTAGGAAGCAGTCGCGGTTCTTGGGCTTTTCGCCAAACTCGCGAGCCTCGTCGAGGTCGCGGAGACACTCGTCGTAGGTGACCTTGCGGATCATGTCGGATTCACCCGTCGCGCCGGACTCGTCGCACTTAACGTTGTGACCGCGGAGGAAGACACCGTCGCACGGGATAATCTCACCGGGCTCGAGCTGAAGAATGTCGCCGACAACGACGTCGTAAACGCTCAGGACGGCGGGCCTGCCCTGGCGAAGGACCTTGACCTCACGTTCCTCTTTCTTGGCGTTGAGCTTCTTGAACTGGCGCTCCTTCTGGTAGTCGTTGAGGGAACCGACCAGGTCGACGATGACGATGGCAACAATGATGGCAACACCCTCGACCCAGTCAACCTGGGCAGCAAAGCAAGGGCCGGTGACGCCGATCGGACAGGCGACCTGCTCGGGGTCCGCGCCGAAGCGGCTGTAGAGTCCGAGAGAGAGCGAAACGACGGCGGCGACACAGAGAAGGATGAGGATCTTGTCCTGCAGAGCGAGCCACATGAGCAGCAGCAGGCTGTTGCTCTTGCGCTCGGGAAGGACGTTCTGGCCGAACACGCGGATGCGATCCTCTTCGGTGGCCTCGATAAAGTCGGGGTCGCGGGCCCGCTTCTCTGGGACCGGACCGTGGCTCTCGATGTCGTCTTTGTTGCCACTCTCGATGTTCTTGGTGCCTCCGAGCTCGAGTCCTCGGTGCTCGTCGGTGCCTAGACCGTTGAGGAGGCCACGAACGCCTCCCATGTCCTTGAGCGCAAGGACGCTCTTTGGGTCGACCAGGTCGGCGAGCACGATGGGCTTGAACGGGAATGGTCGAGGGTCGACGTTGAGAGCCCTTTCCTTCTCCTGTTGGAGGGCCAGGGCCTGAGCCTCCCTCCTGCCGGAACGGGTGGCGCCCTTGAACTTGGCCTTGAGCCTGGCACCGACACCGGCATCCTCCTCCTTTTCGAGCTCCTGGTCGGCCTCCTTGGAGACAGGTGCTCGGTCGGCGGCCGCGGTAGCCCGGTCAGAGTTGGAAGACGTCGTGTGCTCGCGGTCATTGGCTGTGGTGCTGCCAGCCGTGGTGGTAGCCTCGGTCTGCTTGTGAGGATCGTTGTTTCGCAGCGCAACCGAGGTGAGGTTGGGCTGGCCGTCAAAGGTGCGATCGCTGACCGCCGTGAGAGTCGGCGAGGCCGGCGACTGGCTGGTGACGGGGCTGGAGCTGGAGCCGTCGGCAGCAGAGGAAGGTGCGCCGGGCACCTGGAGCATGCCCGTGGAGCTGGCGACGCTCACATTGCGGTTGTGACCGGCCGCTGCGCCAGTGTCAGCCTCTGCATCGGTCGATGTTGTGACAATGGCCGGCAAGGTGGGCTGCTTGTTGTCGGACATGTTTGCGCTGTTGTGACAAGGTTGTGCCGATTAGAGGGGATGGAGAAGTGAGGGTGGATGGGCGAACCTCGTCGCCGTCGAGTGGCGGACGAGCCTTGAGAGCCTCGGTGAAGGACAATCAGGGGCGTCGCATGCGATGCGAAAGTGCTCAAGGTGGCAGAGGGCCGTGGCGGTTGGGTGGATCAGAGCCGCGCTGGTTGGCGGATGGCGCAGAAATGGTGCAAAGGTGGTAGTCGTGTAACAACGAGTAGCGCGATAATGTGTTGGGGGTAGCGACGACGAAAACGACGACGGTGGCGAAGGGAGACGAGAGCTAGGGGATATGGGTGGATCGAAGGGCTGGGGGCGAGGACGGTTGCGGGAAAAGGGGGGAGGAGGGCGAGGGCAGGGGGGCGCGATCCAAAATTAGAATGCGCCAGGCCGCCTTTGCGGGCGGTTTATAGGCTGAGGAAGCAGGCTAGGCTGGCTCGGGCTAAGGCGGGGCGGGGCGTGGCTCTGCAGGAGGCGCGCTGTTGCCTTGGCCGCCTGGGCCCGCGGTGCGCTGAGTGGCGCGCGGTCCGGATCGAGAAACACAGACGACCAGCAGCGCGGTCTCGACAGCCCAACGTACTCCTGCCTGTCCTAGGCACCGTAGCTCGGCTGCGCCTTCACGACCATCCACACGAACCTCGACGCAGGCCGGTCTGGAAAACTCGAGGCTAGGGCACAGCGTAGCCGGCCTGGCCAAAGATCTTTGTCCTCTTGCCCTTCTTTCGCCGTCGCTAGGGAGCCGAACGCGGACGGGCTGTGCGATGCCAGGCGGGCTTCAAAGGGGGCCGGCGTTGGCGAGCCTGCGACGCCGATGACCGCTTGGCTTAGCTTTCTACCTGCTGTCTGCTGTCAAAGGCAGGCGCCGTCGAGGTGGCAACTCCAACACATCCTCGTCGTCAGCCGCAAACATCCACAGCTGCACACCAGCCCGTCCAGACCCTAGGCAGGCTGTCAGCAGCAGGAAGGGAGCTGGTGCGACCCTGCCTGCCTGTCGCTGAACAAGACGCTAAAAATAGGCTTCGAGTCGGTCGGGTCGCCACCGGCAAGTGGTCGCTACGATATCGGCCACGACGGTCGACGACAAGAAGGGGCGGGAAGTGGGCATCCTAGCTTACTCTACGGAGATAGAGTGCTTGCTGGCTTGGCAAGCCAGGCCAAAGGGGGGGGCAAGGGGCGACGGTCTTGCCAAGAGGCGCGGAGTGTCAAAGTGAGCAGCAGCAGCAGCAGCTGTAGACAGACGACCGCCGAGGAACAGCAGCCAGCGGGCCAGGCCCGAGGCTAGCC